ATGAAATTTGCAGGTAAATGGTGGGACCTGGAAAGGATCATCCTGAGTGAGTTGTCCCAGAAGCAAAAAGACATGCATGGTATATACTCACTCATATAAGCATACAATATAGAATAAACCTACTAAAATCTGTACATCTAAACAAACTAAGCAGAAGAGAGGACCCTAACTAAAATGTTCAATCCCCATCCTAAAAGGCAAAGAGGATGGACATCAGAAGAAAAAAAAAATAGGAAACAACCTTGGAACCTGCTACAGAGGGTCTCTGAAAGCCAGAAGAAAACAGGAAACAACCTTGGAACCTGCCACAGAGGGCCTCTGAAAGCTTCTGCAGTATAGACTGTCAAAGCAGATGCTGAGCCTGATGGCCAACTGATGGGCAGAGTGAATGGAATTTTATGTAAGAAGTGGGAAATAGTAAGATCTGCAGGGGACGGGAACTCCACAAGGAGAGCAACAGAACAAGATAATTTGAACACAGGGAACTTCCCAGAGACTCATACTCCAACCAAGGACTATTCGTGGAGATGACCTGGAACCCCTGCACAGGTGTAGCCCATGGCAGTTCAGTGTCCAAGTGGGTTACATAGTAATGGGAAGAGGGACTGCCTCTGACATAATCTGATTGGCCTGCTCGTTGATCACTTCCCCCTGAGGGGGGAGCAGCCTTACCAGGCCACAGTAGAGGACAATGCAGCCACTTTTGATGAGAACTGATAGACTAAGATCAGAAAGAAGAGGAGAACCTCCCCTATCAGTGGACTTGGGGAGTGGCATGCATGCAGAAAGGGGAGGGAGGGTGGGATCGGGAGGGGAGGAGGGAGGGGCTCATGGGGGGATACAAAATGAATAAAGTGTAATTAATAAAAAATTAAAAAAAAAACTGGTAACACAGGATATTCCTAAGAAGTGAATAATATAGCATATATATATGTGTGTGTGTGTATATATATATATATGTATGTATATATATGTATATATGTATGTATATATATACATACATATATATATACATACACACAAAGCAAATAAGCTTTAAAAACAGAGCTGACAGTCGTAAATGACTTACTCAATTGTGGATTTTGTTTGAGCTCATTAGCAAAGGAAATAAAAAGATTGTAGAAGTTTAAGTTATTTTAATCAGGCTTTTTAAAGCATACCACGAGAAGATACAATTAAGAAGTACTTCAATTTTATGAGGCTATTTATTTTGAGACTCTTATTGAAGGGTTCCCAGAAATGAAGACCAGGAAGAATGGGATCTGTAATGCACCCTTCTTCTTAAGCCTCTTCATTGTAAATTTCAAGGAAGAGAATAAGAAAAACTGTCTTATTTTAAGGGTAATTATTTCTATTATTCTAGCTTCTAAGACAGAATAAAAAATAAGGTGCTGAGTGAAAACCAGCTAGATCCAGACTTTGTCAGGCTGCTTTGTGATTTAAATCACTGGTAATGTTACCATCTTCCGGGCAAACTAGAGTATTGCAGTTTTGAATGGCAAGAAAAATGAGAAGTTTTTAACTGTGGGTTTGATAAAAGACATTCAAATACTTCCCTTCCCCCCCCCCACCCGCCCCCGCATCACACCCTGTCACCAACTTCAAGGGGAAAAAAGCTTCAGGGTTATTTAACTGGAAAATAGAGGCTACTTAGCCCTGCAGAGGGGCTCACAGCTGTAATGCCATCCCTTAAAAGCTGAGGTAGAGAATAACCCAGTTCAAGACCAGCCTGGGCCAAGATAGTGAGCTCCAGGATAAGCTCCTGCCTCCAAAATAAAAATAAAAAAAGAAAGAAAGAATTATTGAGGTTTGCGAAAGTGCTAACTGGTAGTGAAGGGACTGTTGTGATGAAGTAGTAGTGTCTGAAATGAAAGCACATCTAAAGGAACAATTGCTGATGTTTAAAAATGATGTCAGTTTCACAGCGAAAACTCCCATGACTCCGTGTGTGTGTTATGTGCGCAGTACATTCATGTGTGTATAGAATATATATATATTATGACTGTGTGTGTGCAATGAATGCACACACGTGGTGTGTGTATGGGTAGGCGGGCGTGTGGTCGTGAGCATGTGTATGTGGTGTACGTGTGTGATATACACTCGTGGTGCATGCACATGCGTGTATGTGTGCTGTATATATACTTGACAGGCTACGGGAGAACATCCTGTGTCCCACTCTATCTCTCTGACTGTCTCTTTGGGGAGACAGTCTCTCGTGGAACCTTCTGCTAGTCCCAGCAAGCCTCCTCTCCCCACCCCTCACCGCCCTAGGGTTTAGAAGGCATTTGCAGGGTCACACGCAGCTCTTCACGTGGGTACTAGGATGGAACCTGGGGTCCTCATGCCCGTACCCACTTTCCTGCTCTCCCGTCCTCCTGTGACTGACTGACCCTTATAGAGCAAGGTGCTTTTACGCTTAGTAAAAACACTTGTGCTTGGTAATCCAATAGTCGTTTACTAATTTCTTTCATTTTCATAATTGCTGTCATACTTCTTTTTCTTTTTGTTATTTTTGTTTTGGTTTGGTTTGGTTTCTTGTTTTTTGAGACAGGGTTTCTCTGTGCAGCCTTGGCTGTCCTGGATTCACTCTGTAGACCAGGCTGGCCTCGAACTCACAGCAATCCAATCTGCTTGCCTCTGCCTTTCCTGAGTGCTGGGATAAAGGTGTACGCCCCACCACTCTCAGCTCAACTATGTTTTTTAATGGAAGGGGCCTAGGAACATAAAAGGGAATGATTGCCTCATTCCAGAGTCTCACTTGGAGCCTCTTGCCAGTTGGGAACCCAGCATAGCCACTGGAAAGATGGCTTAGGGCCCAAAAGGACTGGATGCACTTCCAGAGAACCCGGGTTCAGTCCCAGGCCCTACGTGGTGGCTCACAGCCATCTGGACCCTGTTGCTCTCTTCTGGCCTCCACTGGCATCATACATAAAATACACATAGTGCACAGACAAGCATGCAGGCAAAACACCCATGCACATTAAATAAAATAATAATTTTCAAAAATTCCAGAACAATTAGTGCTTTCTGTGTAGGTTGCCAGCACAGGATAATAGTTCTTTTCTAAAGAGATATTTTTGTTAAAGTAGCAACAAGCCAGGCCCAAGGCCTGGATATATATGATCTCAGGTGGGACCTTATTCCTTTTCCAAGACATTTTCTGGGAACCTCAAACAAGACTATTGTCTATTTACAGAGCGATCTCCCGCCTTCATGCACCCCTGATCTAGAGAGTTACCTTATCAACTGGAATCCTGTTGAGGGAGGCCCCTCAGGAACCACTTTATGACCTCATCTGGGTCCTTAGCAATGCTTCCAAGATAAAAGCTTTGAACCCACCAAAATCTTGTGTCTGACTATTACAGAGCAAACAAAATGCAGCTCTTGGAGAAGCCCATCCCCACCTCCTCGGGGTGTATTATACCTCTACTCTCAACCTTCCTATTAACATCTCTGTTATAAAATGCTGTGGCTCAGGATCAGGGTCTGAGGTATGACAGTGGGAACCATGGCCAATACAGTGGCCAGAAGCCCCTGAAATAACCCAACAAGTAGGCCAAGGAGATGGGTGGGGAAGATAATATTTTCAGGAGGGAAAAAATTTTTTTTACAAAACAGAGGAATGGAAGAAAAGAGAAACCAGCAGTGAAGGGCCTCTGGCCAAGGAGGAATTAAGAAGTCTAGCCAACCGTAAGCTCTGCCTCCAGGCCCTGCTAGCACATCTGTTGCTGTGGATCACTGTCTTGGAGCCTACTGAACATAGTAATATATTTTGGTAAAAATAAATAAATGAATAAAAATAAATATCATAAAGTAAATTCTGTCTCAGATCCTGCCAGCACCTACTGTTTCATCTTTGTTCTGAATTAAGTGTCACCTTGAATTAAACTCATTTAAAAGGATATATATGTGTACATATGTATGTGTGTATATCTGTATATACACACACAGTGTTTTAATAAACCACAGCTCTGCTTCGTTCTGCCTCACTCTGACATTCCTTTGTGCATTGGAGCCAAGGATCCCATTTTCCCTGAGCTGAGGTCCCTAACAGAGGTCTTCAGCCTGTGGTGGTGTCACAGAGCTATGTTTCTGTTCCTGTTGCCACTGACAGACTTTTCTTTTCACTGTGGCTAACATGACTTTCTAAGAATTTTCCCAAATGTGCAAAGAATAATCCACTTACTACTGACAATGTGATCTAAACACTACCTGTCCTTCTTACAAATACTATTCTATCAAACTTCAGCTAAGACTCACAAAATGTGTTTGTGTGTACACACCCAGACATATGCATTCAAGCAACCTAGGGCTTATAGGAATCTGAAAGAAATAGAATAAGCAAAGGCCAGATAGATAAGCATCCCTTTCATCTTTTATTCGTCTTAACTAGTTTAAATTGACACACATAAATCTGGGCACATTTTTCCCTTAAAAGCAAAGCTCTGAACTTAGTAAAACCAATAATAATAATAATAATAATAATAATAATAATAATAATAAAATGCATATAGTTAATCCCTTGCTACTACTTTATATGACCCAAACTATAAGGTAGCCTGAATTATCTCCATATTCTTTTCACTCTGTTTTGCTTCCAATACAATACTAGATTTTTAATGTGCACAGAGAAAAGAGAAGGGGGAGGGGAGGGGAAGGAAGAGGAGGGGAGAAGAGAGAAGCAAACAGACAGACATTGGAGCAACTACCTTTCCCACTGTTACTTCAGCACCCAACCAATGTCTCAGAAATAACAGTGAAGGTTCTCAACTTATGAACTACAGCTAGTTCATTTCTTTAGAGTTGTCAGTTTTACCAAATTATATTTTAAAGACTGGTTTTAATATCCTGTCTTTTTAAATCAACATGTATACTGCGCTCCTCTGATTAAATCATCAAAAGGTGAGGCCCTCTACCATAAGAATATTCATTATCCTGACTAAAAACCAGTGTCGAATGTGAGTCTGTTCTGAGAACACAGTCAGACCAGCTCTCCCCACCTGTGGACGGCAGTGTTGGTGGCAGGCCATGAGGGAGCTGGAAGGTGAGCAGGGACGACTGGACGCTGCTTCTGAAGAAGTCCTCTGTTGCCTTAGACTGTAAAACTTTGGTTTCCCAGAGCTGCAAGGAAAAAAATACTTTTGTATATTTGTTTGTTTTAAAAAAATCACTAGCAATATTTACTATTTTTAAGTGTTTATGCTTTCAGTGCACAGTTCAAGGAACATATAGTAACACAACTGAAGGACAAGCTTCTCAGGTTGTGAAGATGAAACGGGAGAGATGTGAGCACAAACCTTTTTCAAGTCTTTTAACACCTGCTCCTCGATGCCTTCTTCCGAAAACAGGTCCCGCACACCCTCAATTACGTCCTCAATTACAGATCGATAGAGTTTGGGCTGCATGAAAGCAATTATTAGAGGTTTTAATTCTCAGATTAGAATGTGCTTGCCTTAAAAGACATGCAGATACAGGCTCTAATCCTCAGTTTAAGGGGAAAAAACACAAGGTTATTAAGTACATCCCAGTATAGTCTTAGCTCCTTATAAATTGTATCAGCAGCCTGTAATCCCTTTGAGGCCCCTGTCCACAGGGCGTTTTGAGACAGGGTTTCTCTGGGCAGCCTTGGCTGTCCTGGACTGGCCTTGAACTCATAGCAATTGGCCTGCTTCTGCATCCCTGGGTGCTGGGATTATAGGCGTGTGCCACCATTCAGAGCTAAGCTCCTACTTTCAATCTACCGTTTTCTCAAAGTAGCCACTGTTAGTCAACTACCATGGATGTAAATGAGCTTCAGACCTTAAAGGTGAGCAAATCAAAGCCTACCCTGCTTCCAGAGTAGACCTGGAGGGAGGGCAGTTGTGAACATGGTCAAGCAAAAGCTCAACCACATTCCTGTGTCCAGGTGTTTCCTGTAATAGTAATTAATAAGTGCATGAACAAACCCAAGATGTTAAAACCAAGCCAGGAAATAAAGTCAGGCAGAATCTACCCAGAGCCATACAGTATACCAACACACAAAAAGCATGTGAAACATATCAGCCCTTCCAGGGTGTATGTTTCTGAGTGTGTGTGTGTACTCCAGTGCTCACACTGAGATCCAGGTGAAGGCCACAGATAACTTAGAGTAAACAAGAATTTCATTTGCTCTTACTCTGAATTGCTTAATCTAGCCCAAATGAAAACTGAGGCTTTCTTGGAATGCTTTTTCCATGCTTCCCACAAAAAAAAAAAAAAAAAAAAAAGTTCTCACTCCAGGAACAAGATTTTAAACTAATCCTTCTAAAGAGCCAGGGTAAGTCTATGAATGGGCCAATCAGTACCATTTAAATGTTATTCACAGGCATAAGCGTTAAGAGTAAGTGCCCCCAGATGAGCTGCTGCTTCTAAACCAGCCAACCCTGATAAAGGCTTCTAAGCTGAGGCCTCTGTCTTAACCTCAGCTAGATGAGCACACTTAAGAGCTGGAGGGGAGAATTCCTAGGGCAAAAACATCTTTTAAGACCTGCCCTTGAAGTGTAACAGCAGCAGTCCAAAAGAAGCCAATAAGATGCAGGTTCTCAAAAGCAAAATAAGTACTGAACATTGTCTCTCTTGTAGGACTACTGCTACACTCACATTTCTTTCTCTGTTATCTTTCTCAAAAGTACATAGTCTGAACCTCCATCTTGCCTGTGTCCCTAAAACATTCTCATTGGCAGTATCAATCAGGCAAGCTGGTATGCTTGGAAAGCTTATATTCCAGTATATGTACTTTACACTTCTTAAAACGTAAAATGAACACACATGAGTATGTCTCTAAAAATGGAACCTTTTACGCTGGACTTTTACACATGGACTTTTACAGACACAGACCTATCTTGGCTGCTCATGGTCTTTCTGGAAATGTGCATCTGTTGATAATGGTTTTGCCTTTAACCTGGGGATTTTTAATTTGATGGAGGATATAACAAGCACCATTTAGCCTGTAAATTCTAACCGTGAGGTTTAGATACCCTTATGGCAGTGTTTGTGGGTTTCACATTTAAGTGGTAAGATGTTACAGGACAAAGAAAGGTAAGATCGTTGGGCAACAATCCAAATCGCATCACCTATAATTCCGGAGTAATCTATCGTGAGCCAGCTACGTCCTAATAAAGAACTAGAATTAGGGCTGGAGGTGTGGTAAAAGGCTGGGGCGAAGGAAGTGGAGGAGAAGGAGGAGGCAGAGGCAGAGGAGGAGATGAAGACAAAGAAGACGAAGAAGAAGAAGGAAGAAGGAGTAGTAAATGTAGGGATTTCCTGAACACAGAGGGAGGAAGTCATCCTGATTGAGGGTATCCTCACTCTAGGTGCCCTCAGTTGGAGTGGGAAGCACACTTTTTTCAGCAGAACCAGAGCCTGTTTTCAGCTGTCTTCAGCTTCCTCTAACCCTTGGTGAGAAGGGGGGGAGGGCTATCAAAGTCTGCGACTTGTCATGGAGGGCTAAAGGGTGTCGGCAAAGCCTACCCGCCTCCTTACCACCAGATTGACGAAGGCCATGCCGACCTCTCTGCGCCTGACCGTTTGTGCCTGTGTGGCAGAGCCGCCGTGGCTCTCGTTGCTGCGCAACCGCGAGGACGCTAGGGGCGGGTCCGAGTAGAGCGGGAATTGAAAGAAGATTAGTGATTGGAGGGATGAAGTTTGGCTCGGGTGTAAGGTGTCCGACAGCTTTAGCCTGCAACGGTGGGGCTGCGCAGTGACAGATGGGACACGTTCCTCTTTGAGGACTGTAGGGAGAAGAAAGAAGGCAGAGTTATTCCTGCTTTTAGCAGTTTGCCATGTCTCTGAACACCACTCACAGCCGCACGCCATGCTGCTGTGTACAGGTGTGGCAAGAGCCAAACTCTCTATAATTAGCTGTTGAAGTGTGGGCAAAAGCAGCAGCAACTTCACCTGGCAATACAAGTGAGAGTCATGAGGACGCTCGCTGCCAAACCTGACCCCCTCGCTCTGAACGCTTGTCTGTGATCGCCGAAGGTGCGCAATCCGGGCCTCGATGCATGCAAAGGAGATTAATACAAACGACGAAGCATTTATAAACACAAATATCTCTACTGAATCAGAGACTGACAATTAGGGCCCAGCATACAGCGACTTCAAAAATGTTCTCCAAATAGTTCAGATGGGCGTTAAAATGAGTCCTAAAACGCACTCAACATTGGGTCCACATTAAAATTACCTGAAGGGCTTTTTCTTTTTAAAGGTTTGATGCCTGAATCTTCCCCAAAACAGATGATTTAAAATGCAGCAAAGATGGAAAACCACCATTTAAAGCAAGTTGGCTTCCCAGAGTTATCCTGCCTCCTTTGCTCCTCAGGCAAAAGTCATCTTTGTCCTGTAATGTCTCTCTCTGTCTCTCTGTCTCTCTCTCTCCCTGGCATAGAGGCTCTTAACTAGCTAAAGCTGAAGACAGATTTAAGCACGCATTCCCCACTAGTTCAAAAAGGAAGGTGCCATCTACTTCCACCGCTCTGCCTTCAAACCGCCTTTCTAATCTGAAGATAGATCTCGACCTAACAGATGGTTGTATGATGATTTAAAATCCTGTTAGGGTTTGGAGTTGACTGTTGTCTTATTTGTGGTGTAAGTGCAGTAGAGCTGTATGTGATGGCCCACTCCAAATAGGCTTGCCTGGACCAGGTGTAAGTTTCTAGCAGCTGATTCATTCCGTGTCATTTAAAAGACTTTTCCTAAATTGAAAACTACTGGGAATTTCTTTAACAAAAAGCCATTAAGTATGTGTGGTGATTTTTAATGGCTACATCTCTCTACGTGGCAATTTACTCCTGGGAATGTTCAAAGTGACTTATCTTTCACCCAAAATGGAAAAGCTAAAAGCAAGCATTGATTCCTTCTGATATTATAAAATCCAATTAGATTATTCAAGCTGGGAAATAAGAAAGCTGAAAGGTCTCTTGTTTTCCATCTTTCTCCTTGCAAGTTTTTACAATTTTAATCCTAAATGCATAGAATGGGTAACAGTCTAACATTTTGTGACAGCACACTGTTTCATTGTACTACATTATACATTATCCCTTTCTCAAAGTAAGCCATGTGTATTTTTTTAATTTAAATTTGAATGTTGGTTTTCATAAAAAGTGTGACTAACAACTGAATTGTTACTGCCTAATACATTCAATACACCTTTTATAGAAAGCTATACAACATTGGCTAAGGTATCTCAGTGACTTTCTGGTTGCCCTCTTGTGTATCTGAATGGTCACTGGTAGACTCTGCTTTGGGTTCTTCCCAATAATCGCAATGACTATTAAAAGACACCTGCCTGAATCCAAGATCTAAGTTGTTACACCTTCAATATGAAAGGTCTCCAAAGTACGGGTCTTAAAGCTTGGTGCCCGTGCAGCAGTGTGCACAGGTGTGGCTTCTAGGAGCTGATTATATTTCTGTCATCATTCAGACCTAAACATATGACAGAAACAACTGAAGTTAAAGAAGACTTATTATTTTATTTGTCGGTCCAAAGGATTCGGTCCATCAAGGCAAAACAATTCAGTTTGTTGCTGGACTTGTTAGGGTCAAAGCCTGGACTCTGGCGACCCTAACAAGACAAGTTCCACCACCCATCCTCAATTGGCTGACTGGAGAGACAAAAATGGTGACAAGTACAGACAGGAGACAGACATGCTGGATGTGATGACACCGGAATGAGGAACACCTGAAGTGACTGCAGCGCCCACGCCCACCTTACGGGTCTTGATGTGAGTTTTAGTTTCAAAGCGAACAAGAGCCGTGTAGAACTAAGCGGTCTTGTCCAACCTGCAGTCCCACCCATGACTGACCCTTCTTTGCCTCAGCTCCCAGTCTTCCCTACAAGGTAGCCTGACAACTGTCAGGGACAAGTTCCCTTCTGGCTCCACAGTCCTAACCTTTCTCTTCCCCGCCTTGAGCTTCCTGGGAAAGTTTAATTAGGATCCATTGTCTCAACAACCTCATAGCTGAAGGGTGGAACATAGGTGCCTCTCCTCAGATGGCCTTAGCAAACTAGAAAGCAGAGAAACGGGAGTGTCACCCTCTCTTGCTTGCCCCTGTAGCCTCTTCTACTCTGGCTGTACTCCCAGCCATGGCGTGACACCAGCCATGGCGTGACATAACCCATGTTCAAAATGGCTCTTCTGCCTCAGTTAAGCCTCTCTAAGAATGCTCAGGAAGACACACCCACAGGTGTTCAGTACTTCTTCAGTCTTCTAGACTGAATGAGGAAAAAAAAAAAAGGAATAAAAGAAGGACATGACAGCTCCTAGGTATGGTGGAGGAGAAGGTGTATTGTAGATAAAAGGGAGAGCAGAGCAGAGCCAGAAGCAGGAAAGTCCAGAGTGGACATGACCCTGAGCCAGAGCATGTGAGGAAAGGGAGGAGGAGAGAAGGGGAGAGCCAGGAGACTAAACGGTAGTCAAAAAGGTACAGGTAACTAAAATAATTGGATTATATAGGGAAAGACAGCTGGGGGGGAAGGGCAGCCCAACCCCTGGGCTGGGGAAGTTTAGGGGAAAGGGAGGAGTATGCCAGCCAAAAGGACCATGTAACAGGTAGGGACCCAGGGATGCTGGGAGAACCTGGCAGTCAGGTCCACTTTGATATGTTAAATAGGAACCTTAGTTAGCCATTTGTCCAGACCTAACAGGTATTTCTAAATCCAGTCAAGTTGGCTGACCATTAGCTATCACTAGTTCTAACCTCATCACTGAATTATTCCACTGATTAATTCATAGCTTACTGGGCCTAGTGGAAGAAGTAAGCCATGAAGGACACAGTCCGCTCCTGACGCTTTTTCCCTTTGGTGTTTTCTTTGTCTTCTAGATACTATAAGATACACAACTTTGGTCTGTCATACCCTGCTCATCATACCATTCTCCCTTGCCACAGGCCCATAGTCATGGGACCAAAAACCATGGATTAAAACCCACGAACTATGAGCCAAAATGAGTCATCCCTCCATCACATCGATTTTCTCGGGTTCCCTGTCACAAAGCCGGAAAGAATACAAATCTTCTCTGAACACTTGGACAGCCCCAGTTGACTCCCTTACCCCCACCCCCAAACCCTGCTATTCACAAGCTGGTGTCATCCTTCCCACATTGAGCCATAATATTTCTGTGTTATATGTGAATAAAGCAGAAGTAATAGCGTCTCTCTTGCACGACTGTTGGGAACAGTGTTGAGGCATTGCTTGCTCAGCTGACAGACATTGTGGAGGAAGCCAGCTGTTTCATAAAAACTAGCGCAGAAGGAGAGACTTAAGAAAGGACACGCACACCCAGAATTCTACCGAGTGCAATTATGAAGGATTGATGGGCACAATTAAGTCCTTGACAGCATCGAGAGAGAAGGCTCCTCAGGACGTAAGGTATCAAGGAATCAGAAGAAATGCTGACTGCAGAAGACCCCACCCACAGTCCTGCCAATCAAATAAGCAGAGCAACAGATCTGATAGCTAAGCTAGATCTACAGTGATGGAAATGAGGCTCTTTTCACTTGACAAAGGAAGTGAACCAGCTGCCTTGTCCCCCACCTCTCCAGAGAGCTCTGGAGGTAAAGGCTGGCTGGGGTGTGGCCCTCTTACGTGGTGCTGTTTTATGAGTTGCCAAGCTTTGGCTAAAACTATTTCCTTTTCTTCTCCCCCCTCCTTCTCTTTCAGGTGCTAGGTAAACTTTTTCTAGTGCTTTGGGATTCCTTACTCTTTCCTAATGCTCCCGTTCCCACAGGAGCCTCCCTAGCACCCTATGGTTCACCTCTACGCTACCTAGCTCAAACAGCATCCCTTATCTTCTTCACTTTCCTCCTCTGGGCAGCTCTTGAGCTTACCTGCCTGCCATGAGGGTTTTCCTTTATTTATTTATTTTTTTAGATTTAATTTTATTTGTATGAATACTTTGCCTACATATACGCACTCCAGGCACATAATTGGTGCCTGGGGGGTATCAGAGAAGGATAGGATCCCTTAAGACTGGAGTTGCAGACAGTTGTGAGCCTTCTTGTGGGTGCTGGGAATAAAACCCTGCCCTGCAAGAGCAGTCAGTGCCCCTAACCATTGAGCCAGCTCTTCTTTCCTTGAGTCCTACATCATTTTCTTAGCGAGGCTAAGAACCACAAAGGGGGACCGCAATTTCCCCAGTATCATCTGGCAGTTCAAATGAGACTCACCCAAATTTCCATTCAGAAAACCAGTCAAAAACAGCCTTGCATTAAAACAGTCTTAATAATTGTGTTTATCTTGTAGAACTCACATCACAGTGGTCACCCGACCACCAAAAGACAATCACAAACCGAGATGGATACAGTCGGGTTAAGCTAAATCCCACCACTGCCATGCCACAAGGACATTCATGTCACCTATGGAGAAATCCATGTGATAAGGAGCTTAGGTGCTGTACATCCACAGCTGGTATTAGAAACCTCAAACAGTCCTATGAATGGGCATGGATCTGGATCTCCCCCAGTGATCGATCGATCATGTGACTTAGGCCCCAATGAGAGCATGAATACTTCCTCCTGAGGATGACCCAGAA